GAAAACTTGGCAAATATGTCCAGGCCAGCTGTGTTTGACTCAGGGTTCAGAGCTGCCAGCTTGGGGTACCTGAAAGCCAAGGGGAGAAATAAGGAATCCTACTGGGAGGAGCCTCAGCCCCATCACCATCTGGCTTGTTTGTTTGTTTTTCAATCCTCACCCCCAAGGAGTGAGGATATTTTTCCCGTTGATTTTTAGAGAGAGTGGAAGGGAGGGGGAGGGGGAGAAAGAGAGAAAAAAAAGGAACATTTATGTGAGAGAGACACATCGATTGGTTGCCTCCTGCTCGCCAGGGATTGAACTTGCAACCCAGGGACATGCCTTTGACCAGGATTCGAACCTGGTTCTTGGGCTGACGCTCTAACCACTGAGTAACCGGCCAGGGCGCCATCTGTTTTTTATTTCTTCAGAGTCTCCCAGCTCCCCCAACTCCCCTTTCCCAGTGCCCCAATACCTGGGAGGACACAGCACTGCCTCCAGAAACTCCTCAATCTTGTTGGTGTCTGTGTGCACTTCAGTGCCATACAGCAGAAAGGGGAGCTGCCCTCCTGGGCACAGCTTCTGTACTGTCTCAGTTCGCCTGTAGGAGAGAGAGGCCACGCATCGGGCTTGAAAAGGGGGGTCAGAGAGGACCAGGAAAAGGAGATGGAGGGAGGTGGGAAGAGAAAGGGGCTCTTGGTAGAAGGGAAAAGTTCAGGATGGAAGACACAGGTGACTGTGTGTGTGTGAGCACAAAGGGTGTTTAGAGGAACAGAAGTGGGCCTACCTCTTGGTGTCAACGGTGGTGACGTTGAAGGTGACTCCCTTGAGCCAGAGCACCATGAACAGTCTCTGGGAGAAGGGGCAGTTCCCAATCTTGGCGCCACCATCACTGCCAGCCTGAAAAGCAAGCCCCACCTCAAGTTAGGCCTGGTGTACCCACCCATCCCCAGGCCATTCTGGGCATTTCCTATTCCCAGACCTTCTCTCTCTCTCTCTCTCTCTCTCTCTCTCTCTCTCTCTCCCCAGAACTGGGTACTCCACCCTGGGCTCAGTCAAATCTAGAGCAGATCAGTGGAAACATTTTCTACAAAGGTTGGCTTCTGGTTTTTCAAATACTTAAGTATAGGCGAGAGGTGGGCAGAGGGATGGGTTGTGGAGAAATGAGAGGATCTGGACCCTGGAGAGGGAAGACTGACAGCAGCGTAGTTTTCCTTGTGCTACTCTAAGTACTTCACACACAAAAACTCATTTTAATTCTCAGACCAACCCATGAAGTAGCCCCGAGAGAGGGACTTGGTGAGGCCAGAGATGTAGGCTAGCGGCCTGGGTTCCGGATTGGAGTAGCGCCTGAGGACAGGAGAGGCGGGGCAGGGTTTGCAGACAGAGTTCTGGTTCTTATACCTCCACCCACTCCGTTTCTGGGCAGCTGCTGGGGAGTCGAGGGGCTCACAGCCTCGCCCTAGAGAGGTAGAGGGGCTGCTCTCTAATTGGCAAGCGGTGACCTCATCCCTCAAGGGACACCGCCCCCTAGGCTCCGGATGATTCATTTCACCGGTGTCTCCAGCCCTAGCCGCTTCCTTCCTGCCAAGGAGTGGGGGCAGGGAGGCGTGAGGCCGAGGACCTGCGGTAGAGGCCACCTTCCTCTCCCCGGCCCTGCCTGCTGGGTCTCCCGGCACAACTCCTCTGGCGCCAGATAACCCTCCTCACACAGGACCCAGGGCCAGAATCTCTGCAGCACACACTCACCCGGGAGTAAAAGTAGCCCTTGAGGCGAGTGTGAGAGTGCGGTGGGGACCACACCCAGGGGCGGGCCCAGGCAATGGCTGCCTGAGAAGTAAAGCATAAAGACGAGGGAGAAACGGGCAGGAACACAGAGACAAGATGAACAAAAGGGGGCAGCCAACAAAAGAGGGGAAGCGGAGAGAAAGGAAGCAGGAAAGTGAGGGGGTGGGGAGAATAGCAAACAAGAAGCCGGGTGTCTGCCAAGGGGCAGGAGGGCGAAGAGAGGAGGTCCGGAGAGGGCGGCACAGCCCTCGTGGGGAAGGGAGCAGGGTGGGAACAGCGAAGGCCGAAGGCCGGGCCTGCGGTTGTTGCTGCTGTTTTTTAATTTTTGGGGGGGGGGGGGCGGGGGGGGGGAGAAGAGAGAAACATCGATGTGTCGTTCCACTTATTTATTCATTCATTGGTTGATTCGTGCATGTGCCCTGGCAGTGGTCGAACCTGCAACCTTGGTGTATTCGGACACCACCTAACCAACTGAGCTGCCGGGCCAGGTCTGGCCTGCGGTTTTGATACCCAAATGCTATGGGCCCACAGAGGGGGAAGAGAGTTGGGGCAATTCTTTCTCTCCTGCTTCTACAGCCTCTAAGTCTAAACCCTAAAGGCCCTAGCCAGCCCCCCCTCTTTCTGACCCCTCTCACCTAGCTCAGCCCGGAGGCAGCCACAGGGAACTCTCTCTCCTCCACACCCCCCCTCTCTCTCCAGGTCCCCAGGCCCTTCTCCACGCACAGCCTGGCCAGCCCAGCTTCTTGCACTCCACTCCCACTCCCCTGTCCTCCCACCCCTTTCCCAGTGGACCCCTTCCCACTCCCAGGGCT